TTAGGTAAGTACAAGCCAAAGTACAAGGGTACCTGACTGTAGAAAAGCCCTACTTAGTATGGTGTTTAAATATAACTAGTATTCGACCATGTGCATTTGCACAAATGTAAATAAAGTATTGTGAGTTATTTATATGCATATAATGATTATTATTTTTCCTTCACATTTTTTCTGGCCAAATTTACAATTAAAGGTGTTGAAATATATATATTTTTTTTTTTAAAAAGTGTGTCTATCTGATTGGATGTAACGTACATTTTGATACGTATTTTTTTTTTAACTAGTATGGTACCCGTGCGCAGTACGGCGGGGTTATTTCCTCAAACCTTTTATTTTTAAACTTTATTTTAAATATTTTTTTTATAATTTAATAATTTAATTACAATAGAAAGAGGATAGAGGAATACAAAATATAAACAAAAATCATATATTATTAAACACTTCTCTATACACAACATTATTGGTTTGATTTTCTTTCAAACCTTCTTCTCCACAAATTAAAATTTTTAGACTTTCTGTTAGTAACACGGGAGACAACGACATATAACTGGTCATGACTAAAAACTGGTTTCTTCAAGAATAAGCCAACATGCGATAATGATTGGCCTTGACTCTTGTTTATAGTCATTGCGTACGAAACCATAATGGAGAAGTGTCTTCTTTGAAATTTGAATGGTACTCTAACATCAGAAGGAGTTATTGTCATCCGAGGTATCAAAACTTTATCACATGCATGATCGCCAGTAAGAATTTTACACTCGAGAACATGATTGGAGAGTTTAGTCACAACCAATCGTGTACCATTGCAGAGTCTCATTGAGTGATCCATATTCCGCAACAACATAACTGGAGTTCCGACCTTCAAATTCAATTCATGGTTTGGCGTTATAGAACACTTGATAGTGTTCAAGAACTCAGGAGTATGGAGTTGTGCCACAAAGTCGGTATTGAAGTCGGATTTACACGTACTGTATGAACTTAAATACGTGCGACCCTCAGTCAAATTTAAGACATGTATTCATTAATAGATTCTACGATATCGAGTGTCGGCGCAAGTATAGCTCTATCCTTCACGTAACTTGGATCGTCAGTTGTATTCTTGAACATCAAAAATGTGCTTTCAACAATTTTTGCTACTGGATCATCGGATGGCTCTAGTAATAGATCATTTGGTATGTCTATCGGAGAACTTCCATCTCCAATGCTCGCTATCCAATCAGCAAAAGCGGAAAACTCGTCATGTTCATTCGAAACTCCAATGCTCTGAAGACGCATATTCTTTGTAAGCCTAAGCACAGTACATTCTCCCTAAATGCTAGAAGAGTTAATAGCAGCATTAACAATCTCCTGACGACTACCCTTTGGAACTACCGGAAGGATTTGTAGAAAGTCTCCACCAAACACAACAATCTTGCCTCCGAACAGTTTATGATGATTTTTCGGGTCGAGGGCTCCCATTACTATTTAAAAGATGCTTGAACAGCTTCAAAACAATGTTTATGCATCATTGGGACCTCATCTCATATGATCAATGAAGAGCGAATAATCAACTCAGCAAGGGGGCTAGCCTGATTGATCTCACACGATGAATTTTCATGCACAGAAATAAGAATGCCAAATCGAGAATATTGTGCAGTTCGTCCGCCCGGCAATAGGAAAGATGTTATTCCACTTGATGAAACACAAAGCACAATTCGACCGTGCAATCTTAGCCAAGCAGCTAAAGTCCTCCACAAGTATGTCTTTCCAGTTCCACCATAACCATACACAAAAAACACGCCGCCTCTGCCGGAATGAACATATGTCATTATTTTGGAATAAACACCCTTCTGTTCATCAGTCATATGTGTCAGCAATGCATCATGCTCAATAGCTAGAGCCTTACGGTCATAGTTGAGTTCATCCAAAACCAGACGGTTCACACTTGAATTAATACTACCCATATCTGGAAAAGGCATAGTGGAATAGTCCTTTATCCCAAACCCAACCTAACTCAACCCAACATAATATTTATTTTATATTTATTTATATATTTATTAAATATTATCTACAATAATTTTTTTGTTATTGTTTTAGTTGTGATATGATAAAATAAAAGATATGATAAAATTGATAAGTTACGGTTAAGAAAAAAGAGTGAAAAGATAGAAATTGCAATTATGTTCCAAAATATATCAAGAGTGGTCTCTATTATAGAGAATGAAAAATAATTTTTTATTTATTTTTTTCATATAAATTAATATCAATAATTTGAGTTACAATTATCTTATTATAGAAAAATTTTATAGACCAATAAGAATGGGACACTTGCCCCATTTCACTAACCTTATTTCTCTCTCCCTCCTTGTGGCTAGGTTGCGATCTAGGGTCACAATTTGACCTGAGTCGCAGATTTTGCTATTTTTTTTTATTTTTTTTTAGTTAGTGACCTAATAAAGATAGTATAATATTTATTTTATTTTTATTTATTTATTTAATAAATATTATCTAAAATACATTATTTGGTATTTTTTTATCTACAACCTAACCCAACATAATAATTTTAATTGTGTTCCAAAACACATCAAGAGTGGTCTCTATTTATAGAGTATGAAAAAATACGAATTTTGGTATTTTTTATTTTATTTTTTAAAATAAAATAACATCAATAATTTGAGTTATACTTATCTTATCATATAAAATTTATAGTGGACCAATGAAAATAGGACAAGTGTCCCATTCCTAATGTATGAAAGTTAGATAATATGGAATCTCCAAAAAATCTTCATATAATCTTTTTATTTAGATTTTTTAATTTATTTATTTTTTTCAAAATTTTCAAAATTGTTTGGATGGCGCTCGAATTTTAATTTTTAGCCAAAAATCTTTCTCATTTTATTCACTTTGGGCGGGAATTGGCTTCTTTTTTTTTTGCTGATTTTTTTTCATCTTTTTTCAAATAAATATCATTCCCTCTTTATATATTAATAGATTATTTATTTAGAAATTTTAAATACGTTTTTTATTTTTTTTAAAAAATAATTTAAACGTAACCACAATAATAACATTTAATCACATTATAAGGTCAACACATTATATGGTCAACTTTCAGTACTCAAAACTTTAAAATGATTTTTGTAATTTTGAAGTCATTAGTGTTGATTATTTAATAATTAAATGAAAGATTAAATACATCAAAAGTAACGGTTTTTTGAGGGAAAATAATTAAATTGCCACATAGATAAAATTAAATAAGTTTTATTAAATGCTATTAGCTAGTAATTATATATATATAGATGAGATCGTGAAACGTGATTAGTAAGTTGTATATCGCCATGGACGTATAACTTTCCTGAGTATTATGATCGCAACGGAGCAAAACAAAGTAAGAACCAAAGATTTATTTATTACAGAAACTTATGTCCAAAGAGAAAAGTTGACATGAAAAAATTCAAATAAAACAAGAAAAGGGCTTGAATTTTATAAAACATCTAATGACGTATACGAGCAATTTTTTTTTTTTTTTTATTATTTAAACAGTGAGTTATATATATATAAATCCACGTTGGAACATGGAATTGTCATCAAATTAAACACAGCCACCTTTGTGACAAGCCCACATTCAACTCGAAGCTGTACAAACTGACACATGACAAATTACATTAATCATTAATCTATTATTATATAAAGAGGGGAGCCAAAAAATCCTTAAAGAGCAACTAAAAAATAATTCAAATTACCGCCAAAGAATTTATTAGATATAGTAACTTTCTGTTTGAAATTTTTCATTTGCCAAAAAATTCAAATTCCCGATTTTCATGAGCCAATATTTGTGGATTGTTATCAGATTTTCATGTGCCAATACATGTGGACTCTTATCAGATAAGTTTATGTATTTTTAAAATCTTATCATATTTTCATTGACTCTTATCAATAACTCACACTATTAATATAAATAATAGATAATAGAATTGACAATTATCAGAGAACGTGAGGGTTTTCATCGCCGCGAACGTGAGGATTTGTGTGATAGTTAAGCTTATCTCTCCATATCAAGTTTATGCTTTATCTCTACCTCAATAGATAAGACGCGTGCTTATCTCTCACACAAATCCATCTTCATATATATATTTTCAATTGCTTATAGCATCATTTAATAACTGATGGTAAAATCTTCACCAATTCTGTCTTCTTTAGTTTTTTTTTTTTTTTATATATTTCTTCTATCATCCGTTTAATACCGATTGTTTCTTGATGTTTTAGGAAAACTTACAAGAACAAACATGCTAGATGGAGAATTAAGAAAAAGAGAAAGCATCAGTCCAGGTTGTCGTCATCTAATTTGCTTTGTCCATATTTCTTTTATTTTCTGGCTAATATTGTCTATCATTCATTCAAAACTATACAAATATGCACTAAACAATTATCAATTATAATTAGTCATTTATTGTCTATTTTCAGTTCTACCAGCATGATATTTGAGGGATATTAACAAGAACAAATATACATAATGGAGAATTCGGATGCCAAACGATGCTGGAAAAGTAAAGGGCAGACGAGTCACAAACGTGAAAACATCATTCCAGGTTTTTAATGAAGCAATAAGTTTACATATTGTTCCAAGTATTTTTACCTGTATACTTACTGTGTAAATAGAATTGAGGTGCGATTGATGTGTCCAAGTTATTGTGCATTTTTTATTTGGTACTCCAACGCATGAGACAAAATAAAAGATCATGTTATTATCATAGATTATAAATTAATGTATAAATAATCAATATGTAAACATTTAGTACAATAATTACTTGTCGATGTTATATTCTTTTTATTGTCAATCTGCCAATTTGACTTCATATCCATGCCACAAATCTCCTGCAAAGCTCATGAGCACACATCAACACCAACAATATAACTATAAGAATATATAAACAGAGCTGAGCTAATTGATAATAAATAGCCAAATGAATCAATTTATTAAAGCAGCAACATCCCATTTAAAAAAAAAAAAAAAATACAATAGCAAGTCACCAGGTTCATAAATTTTTAGACAAAAAAACCATACAAAATCACAAATGTATATTTGAAAAAGAGACCTCTTATTCTCATGAACACAACAGAACACGTCCTGCCAAGAGTTGTTTGGTTAATTTGACAGAAAAATTTAAGAAATTGTGTAACTAATTGGTTAACTGGTTTTATTTGGCTTCTTTTTAATGTCACGACTGGGAAGCCGTAGTCCGGTGAATGCCGCCGGCGTTGGTATCTGTTGACGGTGGTTGTGTGGCACGTGACGGCCAATGGGCTCTGTCGAACGGCCGACATGGCGTGGTTCCCACGTGAATATTTGATGAGGTTTCCCATTATCTTTTGGTGTCCTTTGTTTTATTTTGCAGGCTGCTGTGCGTGGAGAGGCGGGTGGGATTAGAGGCGGGTGGGATTCTTCGCCTGCGGTTTGGCGGTCGCCGGTCAGCTAAACAATATATTTATCACCATTTAGGAAAAGTTGGACCGTGTAACTGAAATATTGTAGGGAACCAGAAATTTGTCCGAGAAAATATAAAATAAGTAAATAAATAAATCGAAAAGGTTCGTTTTCACGCTTTTTAAAAGACATTTTCCGCCTTTGTATGTCGTTTTTTTACCAATTTTGGATTTTTTTTTTTTTTTTTTTTTTTTTTTT